ATCTTTGTTTTCAAAGCAACTGGTTGTCTTCTGGCTGCATGTATAACACCTTTAGCATTCGGAACAAGTTTGATAGTGTACTCTCCAGGCAGTGTACCACTAGTATTTGACATTTCAGGAAATTCTCTGAGTGTTTCATTTGTCAAATCAGATGTTATATCTAATGGCTGTAGTCCTGAGATCAAGTTCAGCTCTTCAGCAAGATCTCCTGATATAACATTTTCTTGTTTAAATTTCACAATTTCAAATGTAGCTTTAACATTTTTATTGTTGTGGTTGATATTGAAATCAACTGATGCTACTGGTTTAAAACAGTGATTTGTGTAACTTCGCAGCAATTTAGTAGACTTTTTCTGTATGCCTTTATCTGACAAATTATTGTAATCTGACAGAGTTATTGTATTACAACCAGCTCCGGTATCAATTCTAAAATTCAGTGGACTTTTGTTTAAAAACAGTGTTACATACCATTTTCCATGGCTATGCTTTTTGTAATTCAATGCATGTAAGTCAACAACTTGTGGTTCAGATTCCATTGAATTCTTTGATGACATTTCATCATTATTTTCAGATGTTGCTTCAGATTCTGTTTTGACAGAATTTATTTTCGTACGTCGACGACAGACTGCTTTCCAGTGATTAGGTTTTTTACAGTAAGAACATTGTGACCCAACTGCAGGACAATTACCTTTATAACGACTGTGTGAAATATCGGTTCCACAGCGAGAACATTTCTTGTCATATTTGCGGTCAGATGATGCATTCTTTGATTTTTGCTTCTTGTCCGAATAACTGAAACTTGATTGACGATAAGGATTTTGAGCAATTCTGGAGACTGAAGAATCCTCTTCATCTCGTACTATACGTATTTGCTTTTGTGCAAGTTCATACTGCTGACCAATTTCCAAAGCTTTAGCTAGTGTTAGATCTTCTCCTTTATCTAAAAGTCTTTCTTGCAGTTTTTTCTCATGCACACCATCAATAATACAGTCAATTAGAATATCATCTGAATCAGCATATTCACAATCCATTAGAATGATTTTCAAATCTTTAACAAAGTTGTCAAACGATTCTGATGAGCCCTGTTTACGTCGCATCAATTTATGTCGATTAATTCTTTTATTCTTTCTGGGTCTCACATATTTCTCAAATTTAGCCAAAACAGCAAAAGGATCTTTTTTCTCTTCTTCTTCCCAAGTCAGAGTTTTGTAGATTTCTCTTCCTTCATGCCCTATCCATGTTCCAAGCCATCCGGCTCTCTCAGCTGCAGGCAATTTGGCTAACGGTCCATCGAAAATAAACTGAACATGGGTTTTGAATCTGCAAAATTCTTGGTACAGATCATGACTATTCCAGTCAATCATTGGATGATCAAAGTTATTTGACATTGACATCTCGGATTCAGTTGCAGATAAACAGATTTGAGTATAATTCAGACTCGACGGTTTTTTCAGTTTAACAGATTTCAGACTTTATCCAGTCTTCTGACACCATGTTATGTTCTGCTACGTTGTGTACTTATATTATATCTGGCTACTTCTAATAGCACTGGCAGACTGATTTACGATTCAGTATGTTGTATTGCAGAAACTTGTATTTGTTATTCAAAACATTACACACAGATTATATTGGATACAGAAGCACACACGACGCTAGCTGAACATAGAAAACTAATGGTCAACTCTAGGATGACCTTTGACCCTAACTGATCGTTGCCATACATTACATTGTTTTTGGAGGGACTATATTTCGGAAACCGCCAATAAAGGCAGCATCACGAAACATTCGGAGAAAAGAAGCACACTTACAGATTCGATTTCATTATAGCAGAACAGTAGCAGCACGTTTTGATTCGGCCATATATAAGACCAAACATTGCGTATATATTTTTTATTTTATGAACAGTGTAGACGTAACATATTTAAAAAGGGGTTCGGTATTTCAACTCAATTTACCTGATAATGGAATAATCACCTCTTTTATGAAATCAAAGCCTATATATACCTAAGTTGCGCAACAATGGAAATTGGCCGCCATTTTTAATCAACATCGTCTGTTAGGTTACGGCGGTTCTGCGTGATCCGCGGCTAGGCTGGTGCCTTCTGCTATATAATTATAGGCTGTTCGGCTCCTAATTGCAGCGGGAATAGCAAAACAGTGCAACTATTGAAGCTATCAGCAGATGCAGAAAAGGAGGAAATGAAAAAATAATCGTAGGCGACGTAGAGTCTGGAAATCTGGCCCAGGCAGTTTCTTGTGTGAGGTTAGTCAAACGAATGGCCTAATGTCAAACTAACAACAGGAAATATAGGTTGTACACAGTTTTAGGATGATATCATATTTATTTATTCATGTCACGTTGCCGATTCGACTCATTTAAGTTAGCTCTGACCCCAGAAAAGTTAAGTTGAATTACTAAGATTTTCTAAACGCTGGGTTCAGGTGTCAGGTTAGGGAAACTGTTTTCAAATCTTCCAAAGTAATGCAAAGTCAGAACTCAGTGCATTGAATGTATCAGATTCATTGTCACGATTGTTTAAAGCACTGCGGTAACAACCATTCATAGTAATTAGCAGCAATATGAGTAGACAATTCGGAGCTTGATGAAATCAACCCCGTGCAACTAACTCGTCCCTTAATGGCGTCATATGAACGCCATTTTCGATCATTCGGCATGGGTAGTGTAACGCGATCAAGCCTAGTTTCAGTGGTTTTCGATGGATCTTGTGGCGGTTTTGGAGCGGTAATTTTCTTTCGGCAGTGTGGGAATCCGTCAGGACGTCCTAATCGGCATAGAACCTTATTACATTTACGTGCCAGATGCAAGCCTCCCGGTAACAAACAAAATATTATATATACAACCGATAAGACTCCGCCCACCCCCTTCTGACGTCGTTGTTAAAATTATTATCACCCCATCCATCTATTAAAACTCATGTAGTCGCGAACAGGTATAAAATTAGGTATTGCTGAATATCACTCATCTACCCGATCTAGGTTGTAGTATTTTAACCAATTAAATAAATGAGAATTGAAAGAGAATTTATTTCGTCAACCCAGAACATAGTCATCGTAACAACAACAAAAAATGGAGCAACAAAAAAAAATTCCTGGTACAAACAAAATGGTGTATTACTACCTCACGGTTCTCTAAGTCAGCTCCTACCTTCATTGCTATCGATTATCGGGTTCAAGATTAAGAAAACTAGCTTTAACAGGTAAACGTTTTCACTATAATGACAACAAAATTGAAGGGAGGGGAGTTTACTCATATCATTCCATTAGTATTTAAAGTAGAGACAAATTTTTGTAGAGAATCCTTATTTTCCCAGATTCATATAATGTGATGATAGTGTATCCGACGTGAGATAAAATTACAATAAAACGCAGGACATAAAACTAAAGTTTTATTTGTTCTGGCCAACAACAAATACTATGGCGAGTCTATTGGCGAAAAGAAAACGAAATATTCGAGGAGTGTATTAGCTATACAAATTGAAAACAATGATAATCTATATATATTATGATCTAGTCATAGAAAGTCAGAGTCAATACTCTGTGATTAAAATAAGGTACGCAATAACCCAGGAAAAAGGAACCCCAATATATTAATTCAATTTAAACAAAATTAACAATATTAATAATAATTCAGACAGCAGAGACACCGATGAAAAGATTAAAACGCAGATACAGCGATGCCATTCAATTTCTTTGTCACAAATAGTAGTATTATAGCAAAATGGAATTACCACATAAAATGAAGTGAAATTCTAAATAAGATTCAATAGCAGAAATTTATCATTCGTGACAGAATTACAACCAGTCATAAGTTACAATTACTATATTTTCCCAATGGATCTAACAATTTGCTACTTCTAAAATGCTTGAATGATGAATGATGAATAGTACACTATTAGGTAATATGAATAAATATATATATGTGAGTAAATAATAACAGTATACTTTTAATATTCACTTAATATTAGTAATTCTCGCTGCCGTTCTGCTCCCAAATTGCTTAACAGATGCAACTGCGGTTATGTGTCGTGCATGGATCCTAAGCCTCGCTTTTATGAATCGCTTTACACAATTTTCTGCCGTAGTATGGCATTCTGGAATATTAGCTGGAGGTGGTGGTAACGAGGACAAAACAACGTTTTCGATGTTGGAAAGAGCTTTGACACTTTCGATAATCGATCGGAAAATACATTCTACTCGAACAAAATATTCAAAAATTAATGGAGTGGGATGGCAAAGATGAGCGGTTAGGTTGTCAGTGGTCAGATTCTGATTGGAGTTGTGGGATTTAAATAGCAAAAGTATTGCTTCTGTCTTTTGTGTGATTATGTTTATGTCTAATGTAACAAAAGCACTCATACACAAGGCACATTCTTTAGGAAGTTCCTTGTGGATACACCACCCAATTGAATAATATAACGATAAAATCTAACAAGGGAGTGGCGGCACCAACGAGTGTATCGAAAGGGTCAGAAGATATGCCTTCACCGTTTTCATTATTCACAGATGGTAAATAATCCTTAACGAAGCTTAGTAAATGAGGAGTATCGTCAACATCATAGTTGGACGATGTCGGCACATCCATAAATTGTCCCACTATCACGAGCTTCAAAGCATTTCTTAAATGAATCGGAGAAGGATGGGAATTTCCGAAACCTCTGACCTGAATAACAATATTTGCGTTTACGGCTGGTGCCTGGTGGTATATCATCTTCGGTCGCTTACTTGTGATTGTATTAGAAATTTTTTTTTATTATAATTAAAACCCACCTGTGAAAACAAATTTTCAAGAGCATCTTGGGTGAAGCGACCGCTCATTATATAATCTAATTCTCCATTAACAACCAACTCTTGGTGAAGTGATAGCAAAACAGTTGTGGACAACTTAATTCCTCTCAACACAGGTTTAAAAACATTATCAGGAAAAGCGATGTTTTGAAGTACAAACAAGGCCTAACAAATGATGAAAGATAAATGTTTATCTCTTCGCCGCAGAGTGGCTCGAATTTTTGTTCTTTCAAAACATTAAAGTATTTAAAATCACCTCATTAATTTTCTCCAACTTGCTATCTGAATCTGCATAAAGTGCCGTGCCTGTATGACGACAATTCATCAGGTCGAACCAGTTATTCACAAGCTGTAGGAAAAACGCTGTTGTCCGCGCATGATTTGAAAAAACACCAGCCGCTACGAGTGATCTTAGTGCTGTAGCGACTGTGTGGCTCATCACCTATTTATAACAAAACAGTGATTTGCCATCCAAATTCTCAATAACACGAACTACAGATAAAAAAAACTCCGTGGCAGCATAAAATAATTGAGTTTAACGGGAGAAATTGTAGACAAATTCTACCTGACACGCCATATTAACGCGCATTTTCTCATATGTAGAAGGGAACACATGTCCTTTCGTAAGCTTCGGGGCTAACTTCATCTCTTTTGTGCCTTGATATTCAACCAGCCTTTTCACAAAGAATGAATCAACCTGCAAAGATTCCAATGCAAATATAGGTCAAAAAATTTATTAGAATGTATAGAAGTAAGGCAATCATAAAATTATTTATACATTGTTGTGTTTAGAAATTTTTGGTGGAATTTCCAATTGATTTATTCACTGAAGCTGTTGAGAGTGCATAGCGTCGAACCGTGACGTCAGGTAACGAAATAATATGATTCAAAAACGCAGTCCTTATATTTTTTATTAAATGAGGAACGTCGGCCATGAAATGCAAGTTGAAGTTCTCGTCGTGGGGATGTCTAATTTTGCAGTTAACTCCCGTCCTGTAAATATAGACAGTTTTTTTATATTTTCAGATTGTCCTATACCTATAAAATAAGAGCATTTCATTTCCAGTAAATATACCTGTAGCTTGACACACCCGCAGATCGCCACATAGCCTGATTGGAGGGCCCCATATCACTAACTATGCAACATACAATAAAGCCTCGTTTCTCCATTTCCAATACAAGCTTTTGTGTTACACTCCATAAGGCATCCCCATCAATAGATGCTCCCGTATAAAAATATGCTAAAAAAGTTTGTGCAAAATTGTTTATTTAAATATATTAGAAGTGCAACGTGCTATTGATGATAAAGTCACACATTACCAATTAACTGTTTCCATTTCGTCGTCACGCCTTTAACCATAAAACAAATCAGTAATCAGTAATTTATTTTATCACCAAGAAATACACACTGTACATACAGAACGAGATAAGAAAAGAGAGGAAAATAATGCATTTCAGGGTGAAAGGGGACGCGATAAACCAGCATTGGTTATCGAGCAACGACACCTATGAATAGTCTAACATTGGTTATACAAGAACAAAAATCGAACTAAATACAGTACTAAAGTGAGGAGTCGGACGCCAAAATACTAACGTAGGCAGAAATATGTTTAAAAAGACCGGATATTTCCGGACTCACTAAGCAAACGACTCCGAACGCCGACTGGCAGATAACCATGACAACTACGGCACAAATACGGTAACGTCTAAGTCAGGGGTTGTCAAACTTTTGGTGTTGCGGAGCCCTTGAAAAGGTTGACTATTATTCACGGAGCCCTAAAACAAATGTTAAATTTGTTACTTTCAGATTAATATTCCTGAGCAAGTTACAAGTACTTTACTCAATTTAAATGCTGAACCTTTTTTAATAAGGTTATTACAAGTCATAAATAAATCTAAATTTCAAACATAAATTATATATATATACTAAAGCTGTAAATTTGACACTTGACAAACATACTAATGAATTAGGGGTCGAATCTTTTCCCTTTTGACATTTTTGGAAGACTCAAAAGGCCGCTTATAATGTGCGCGATTGCATTTTGTTACAATCGCCGATTTTTCCCCTCAGCATGGCGTGTTTTTGAACCTCTAACATCTTTACACCGATGTTTATTCTCCCTAAATCGAAAATTTCTCTCGGCATATAGGTAGTACATGTATTGTTACACAATGAAGCGTATATTTTTTTTTTGGTTCTCGTGGGGAACTATGAGTTCATTGTGGAAACATGTTTCCATATTATAGTTATCGGCGACGAAATGATAAAAATAATAATTAATAAAGAGGTAAATCTGCAACTCAAATTTCTTGATTAAAAAGCAGTATTCTAAAATATTAAAACTAAAACTTAAAATGAAAGATCACACGTTTGGTTTCAGCCTCAGCAGACTTAGATTGAAAACGCTTTTATAGACATTGTAAATCATAAAATTTGGTATTGTGTTGGGTTTTCATGGTAGTAACTGCAAAATCGAAACACAGTCAATTGTGCGCGCGATGTACCTTTTTTTTTATTCTGAAACTACCGACGGAGCCAAATGCAATAAAATAAATTTCAATTGTTCGTATTTTTCCCAGACATTGTGATTTTTTAAACGATATCTTGCTTGAAAATAATCTCAAGTGCGAAAGAACAAATCGAGTTTGACAAATCTCAAGATCGCAACGTGAGTTTCCTCACGTATTTTATGTTATTTTAGAATAGTAAACTTTTATTTTAGTAATCCCAATAGTAATCTCGAATCAAACGTGAGTAACGATAAGCACAATTACATTATAACGACGAGACACGTTAAATACTCGCATCAGTCATGGATTGAATATTTTACGCAACAGAAATCTCGTTATCCGTTTTTTTAATCGCGAAGAATGTTGCGCGGAACCACCTCCCTCCTAAGAATCCTGGCTGCGCTCCTGCTTATAAATAATGTCATTTTTGAATTCCGCCTCTTTGCCATATTTCGAGGCTATATTGTTGTCAGATTTTATCAAAGCTGTTATTGCTTCTTTGAACAGGTACAAAATTAGTCAGTAATTTGAAAAGTAATCGAGTAGCTCGCGGAGCCTCTGGGTTTCTCTCGCGGAGCCCTGGGGCTCCGTACGGAGCACTTTGCGAACCTATGGTCTAAGTGACTGGAGCACCATATTGCAAGCTGAGTTGGACGGTACCGGCACTGTGCTGATGCATGGTTCATAAAGGCTGGGGACGAATTTGTACACGAGGATAATATGAAGAGAGAAAAAAGAATGAAATGTATCTACAGGTTTGGGCAACGGATTAAGAGATCACTAAATCAGGTAATTGCATTGAGTTACATTACTTACAAATAGTCATTTTGTGTGGCATAAATATACCTAATTTCAGAATTTTAAATCACAACGGTTCTGAAGGCCGATCGAATAGGTCATGTAGAATTATAGAAATCATTGAATTAAAAAAAATGTATATACACAACTGTTCAATAGGACGGTTCATGCAGAATTTATGTCAATAAATTACATAAATTTAAAGTCACAGCAGTACAATAGCCTACTATGATAAGGCAATTCATGCAGAATATATAAGTCACTCAATTATAAAAATGGAAAATTCACAGAATTACAAACATATAAAATAAATATACTGATAGTACTAATAGTATGGGTCAGTCGGACAGCTGTAGTAGCTGATCAACATAATCCCATTTTGGCCTAGACTGTGCTGTCAAATCTACTGGAACCAGAATCCTGGCATATGCTGCCTCTAGTTTTTGAGACATTTTGTTTTTGAAAAAGCGTAAATGTACCTCCACATATATCTGTGAGGGCATAAGTGAGTCAGTATATTAACAATATATATCAATAAAAGTATTTTAAGTAGATATCCAAAAAATTTGCCAAATAAACATTGATAATTCCATTTATTAAGAATAGTAAAATGTTTATTACAGGTTACTTGGACTCGAGGACTGTGGATCAAGACGAGTAAAACTCATTGTATGATCAAGTAATCCTGGAGAATTCACTTTGCAATTCAACTGGACGGTAGGTGGAAATCATGAGTTTTTTTATACTCTATTTGAAAGTGCCATAAGACGAATCACGTAGGGTTTGGGTAGGTTATTCCAAATTCGCACACCTATGAATTTGATGGACTTTTGGGATTTGGCAAGTGAGAAGCGAGGAACAAAGGTAGTTACGCCTTGTTGAAGAACGAGTGTTATGTCATGCACTGAACTTAGCGAACAAAATAATTGTCAAAAGCTGCTGGTAATTGATTGTTTTGAAATTGATGCATAATTTTTGAGATTTCTAGTTTATGGATGTCAGTCAATTTAAGCACTCTAGTTTTATGGTATGAATAATTTAAATTCGAACGATATGGTGCTCTAGCGAGGATTCTAACGGCTCTATTCTGTAAAACATCTAATCTATGCATGTTGAACTGAGTTGTAGAGCCCCAAGCAGCTATGGCATATTGTATATGAGATTGAAAAAGTGCGAAGTAAACGGTTCTCAAGGTGGAATTTTGTAAATAATTTTTTAGCTTTCCTAAAATCCCTACGGATCTTGACAGTTTTCTATGGATTTCAGTGGTGTGTGTATTCCATTTTAACTGACTATCAATGTGGAGCCCAAGATATTTATAAGACGAGACTATTTCCAATTCGGAGCCTTTAATTTTTATTGAAAAATTCATATGTCTAATGCGAGAGTTTGGACTGAATAACATGACTTTAGATTTATCTATATTTACTGTAAGTTTATTGCATGTCATCCAGTCATGTATTTTATTTATTTCAGTGTTCACCTTATTTTGTAATGTGGTCAAATCTGTCGCACTGGCAAGCAGACAAGCGTCATCAGCAAATAATTTGCTCAAAAGATTTGAGCTGTTAGATAAGTCGTTTATGAAATTCAGAAACGCAAGAGGTCCAAGTACAGATCCTTGCACAATTCCACAATGAATGGGCATCATTGGAGATCTATTGGAACCCAATTCAACGTATTGGAATCTATTGGCCAGGTAATCACATAGTAATTTGCCCGCGGTACCTCTGAAACCGTAATGTGCTAACTTATGAGTAAGGATACTGTGATTCACTGTATCGAAAGCTTTTTTAAGATCTAAAAAAGTGCAGCAGACAAACTCGCCTTTGTCTATTTTATCATAAATGTATGAAGTAACGTCAAGAATAGCATGACTTGTTGAGTGACTAGTCTGAAATCCAAATTGACTTTTGTCGATTAGGTTAAATTTGGTACAAAAACTGATCATTCTAGTATGCAATAATTTTTCCAAAATAATGCCAATAGAAGATAAGACAGAAATTGGTCTATAATTTGAGGGATTATTTTTGTTGCCATTTTTAAATATTGGTATAATTCTGGCTATCTTTAAAGACGAAGGAAATATTCCTAAACGAAAAGAATTATTGAATAAAAGACTTGAAGAAGTGCTGGTGAAATAATATCACCAACTATTTTCAGGAAGTAAGGGGAGATGCCATCGTGACCAACTGCTTTGCCCTTTTTCAGATTCTTAATGGCATGAAAAACTTCCGATGGTGTTGTTTGCTCGAGGAAAAAAAAATTCTTCAGAGGAGTACCCAAGAATTCCATAAAAGATTTTGAGCTATATGGGATTTTGTCTGCAAGCTTCTTTCCTATAGTCGAGAAGAATTTGTTGAATTCTGCAGCCACTAGAACTGGGTCTGTGACAGAGGTACCATTTTCAAATCTAAATGAAAAAGTTACCTAGTATATTTGTCCTAGGGTCTTCATTCTGTTCTTCATTTCCTCATCTTCGTAGACCTACATCTGAAAAGCTAGGATAACATTAATAAAACTAAGCCTAATTAAATCTATCTAAACAATTTACTTAGTGTATTTGTCCTTGATTCTTCTTTCTGATATTCATTTCTTCATCTTCTTAGTCCTATATCTAAAATGCTAATGTTAATTAAAACTAAGCCTAAATAAATCTATGGTAGTTTCACCCCTGGACTTGACTCTGATAATGTCATTTATGGTTTTCCAAGTTCGTTTAACATCTCCTCTGTTGTTCTAAAGGATATTGTGATAATAAATGACGATGAACAAAATTTTGTGGTGTTGGTATATATATGGTCTATCAATGTATGGGAGGATGAGATGACTCTTGTGGGTTTTGTGATAATTGGAAACACGAACTTGGACATGAGCATATCTAAATATTGAGAAGTCGAGTTGTCATGATTATCAAGAAGGTTTATATTAAAGTCTCCTAGGATTAAGAATTGCTTTTTGGCTAAAGCCAACTTGTCAAATAAACTAGCCATTGCCCCAGTGAAAGAAGGAATGTTTCGCTTAGGGTGCTTATAAATCACACCAATAATGAGGCTTAGAATTTTTGAGTTTGGTTGGGAATACTTCATCTCGATCCACAGGTCCTCACAGTTTTGAAAAGATAGGTTGAATTCATGACTTATTTGATAATTCACGGTATTTTTAATGTAAAATCCCACACCACCCGCTTGAGTTGGGGAGGGAGCGTGAATGAATATGTAACCAGGAATGTCAATTTTGCTAATGGTACCCTCAATATGGATCCTAGTTTCGCTTAAGGCGATAATTTGTGGTGCGATATGAAAATTAGATATAAGTTCTATCAGGTCATCCGCATATTTAGCCAAGGATCTTATGTTAAGGTGTAAAATAATAAGATCTGACAATAAGAAGCTGGATGATACTGTGTCGATATCGGATATTTTGAGGTATCGACTAGGGGTTGTGGACATATGTGGATGGAAATTTGTAGACTCCCATTTAAAGTTAGGATCGGAAGTTAGCTCCTTGGCCGAAATTATAGTTTAAATAGAATAATTGAATATTACCGGGCTGGTGTATAGGGAGGACGATTAAATGACATGGGTGACAAGAGTTAGTATGAACTGCATGTAAAGTTAACAGGCTGCTAAAAGAGTATTGTAAATTGAACAAGATGTAATAAAGGATTTTGGCACTATGAAAGAAAAACAGACTTATCTTATTTTGTCCAAACATTCTTCGTCAATAATAGGTAAAGTATGGGTGTCTTTGTTTTTTTTCATCGGCACTTTTCCATTTGAGGTCCATAAGAAAGCATACCCGCATTGCCTTTTAAGAATTTTTGCTTGGTAAAACAAGTTCTTGTTTTTTTCAGTTAGATTTTCGACAATGAAAACTTTCGACATGTTTCTTACATATGTTGTGTTAACCGCAGTTTTGACTAGATGGCGGTTTTTAAGAATTTTGGCACGTATCCTTCGGTTGGTGAATTTGGCCACAATAGGTTTATGAATTTTGATGTTGTGTGTAGGGCAGCGATGGGTAACCGAGATGTCCGATGGCTTTATATCCACATGGATCATTTTGCCTATTTCCATAACCAATTTATCAGTGTCTTCGTTATCTTTTGGAGCAATACCGTGAAATTCCAAGTTTTCTAATCTGGAAATTCGTTCATGTTCCTCTAATTTTTCAGTTGCATAGAATAGATCTTCTTCGAGGTCATAGACTAGATCTTCTAATTTTTTCAGTCTTTTACCATGTTGTATCAGTGTTTCATCAGTTTTTTTTGCTTTGCTAAAATTTCATCATACTTTTCAGATTGGAAATTTTGGGACTCTTTAATTGACGCAATATCGTGTTTTATTTCTTTAAGAGATAGCATTTGCTCCTCCATGCATTTCTTCAAACCAGGACTTATGGGAAGATATTCGGATGAGAAGTTCGCAGAGCTGATACATTTGGCTATTAGATTGGGAAGTTGGTTTATTATATTACTCTGAATTGCCTCCTGGAGAGCTGTCTGAAGATTTGAGGGTTCCTCAAGCTGCTGGATGATGGGACCAATGGGTGATAGGCCTGGGTCGGGAAGGCTTCTACTTAGTCGTTGTTTTGGCTTTGGTTTGGAGATGTTGCTCACAGAAGCCAGGTCTTTATTGTTTATCGACATATCGTTGACAGATATAGATGTTGAAGTTTGACAGTGAATATTAAATGCTAGACTATTCTGCTATTCAAGGTTATATTTAAAACCTGTAGATCTTAATCAAAACAGCAATAATGACAAAGAACATGCGACGCCATTGTTGTTGTCTGGCCAGTTGCAAACTCGCTACTGATGTAGCCAACGATCATATTCAGAGACGGATCGTACTCCACAGCATGGCCTATTTGTACTTCATCCAGTAGAAGAGTACAAAGTCGTTCACGCGGTGAAAAACCTCCCATTTTTATCTTCATCCAATCCAGAATAGTATGCTGAATCCCCGGGGCAAGTTTTAAATTAACCACACGATTGCAAAGTGTTCTACTCGATGGCAACGGATAGCCCAAACTTCGAATGAAGTTGTAACTGAAAATAAATTAAGGATATATATCCGAAATATAAGTATAGAATCGAAGGCTGCAATGATATTATTATAGTAGAAGTGATGCATTTTAAACATGCTTGTTAATTCATTGAATAGGTTTGGAAATTTTTCATGACACCTTAATCTGAAGATTAATTGAAACAGAACACGTACCCTTTCACACCAGTAGCACATCTAACTTTTAAAGCAGTCATCACGGTTTCATTCGCCCATTTGTTTCCCTTCGACGCGAATGTTCGTTGCAATGCGTCGATTTGGTCCTCATTGAAACAGGACTTGAGATTTCGCTCCATATTTGAAATTTTTTGCTCGAGTTGCGCGATCTTAAAGCATTGAGACGTTGATAACTTGATTGTATGGAGACTTATTATTCTCGTGATTAACAAATATAAATTATACCTGATATTTTAAACTCCTGACTTCGTTCTTCAAGCTCGCACAGTTCTTACAATCCTGTTCTGTATCTGTATATGCCTCCAAATTGAATGTTTCGGACACAACTGGTTCGTCCTGGTGGCATTTAGCGTAGGAGTGCTCACTCAAACCTTATACGTTGATGAAATTATTTTCATGGCGCTCAAACTCTTAAATAGAGATCATTTTGAAGTTCACAACTTACTGTTTTGTTCTTTATTGACACTTTTTGCCTCATTTAATATTTTGGTCAAGTCACGTCTTGATGACTTTAATTTTCTTGGTGCATTTGGCACATTAAATAATGTTGGAATCGCATTCCATTTCAGTTTTTTCCAATTATCTTTCCTTCTCAGTTCAAATTGACATTCTTCGAAATGAGTCTGAAAATGGAGTAAATTATATACAGTAAACGTAGTTCTGAAATAATGAGCGCTATGCATCCCATTTTTTCAACATTATATTTCGTCTTGGTGTTCTACAACAAATGATACGTACTCAGGTTCAAACGTACTCTATTTCAATATACATTTGAAGTCCTAAGCTTACAGTAATAGAATCCTTTTATATTATATCCTTTTATATTATAAAAATAGTATCAACTGAAGGACCCCCCCCCCCCCCTGAGTACCCAACTAAAGAATCTCCGCCCCAGGTTAGACCAACTGTAGAATCTCCACCCCACCCATGGAGTCTCCACCACAACTAAAACCATCTAACCCTAATCCTGATGTGTGATGATTTTTTACAGATAGTTTAGGAAACATAATAGTAGTTGCTAGCTGATTCTGTTGTTCTGATCTTGTCTTATGAACACACAATACTTATGGTTCCGAATACATGTATTGCAATAGACCTTATTCATTAAAAACCCATCCTACGCGCAAAAAAAAAGTGATGTAAAAAAATATTTTTTAACATTAGCTCTTATGGGGAATGTGATCACCAGAGCAGAAATTTGCATTTTATGTAATTTTCTAGATATCTTTTATTGTATACATGAGCAGTTTTGAGGATAGAATATTTTTTACATCTTTTTTGATATTTTTATTATGATAAACATGGTCAAGATTTTTAATAATCGTTCATTGAAATTTTAATGAGCGCGGTGTTTCCGATGACGTCATTCTCACTAGACCATGAGATTCTGCCAACGCGCCGTGCTCTGTGGGATATGTGCTCCAACTGCTTGGGACCACAACTGGCGTTCAACGAAAGACCTTTTTTTGGTTTTAATTGGATGTTATATATTTCATGAATTCCATGTATATTTCTGGTACATCTTTCAAAATCCAATAACCTAACTCAGTTCATATCTTGACGGTACCTACCATGTACGGTACCTATCCCAAAATTTGTGATGTTCATGGCTGGATTCAGACCATGAGAGGCCCCTTCATATTTTTGAGCTCATAATTTCTCTCTAAACAACCACTTTTAATTTCTTAAAATTTAAAAATATGAAAGCATTAAACTTTTCATTTTCCCCATTCATGGGTGTGAATTTTTAATTAAAAGAATGATAATTTACTTGAGGCAGTTTTGCTTTCAGTTTTCTTTGATCAAACAACCGCTACAGCCATACTTTAACATAGAAACTTTCAGCAGAATGCGCATCATAATAATTTCCCTTATTATGATGCAAACGACGCAATAATGGCTGTTTACAATGTGGTTGAAACTTGAAGAATTTTCTACTCTGAAAAGCTTGATATATATATACTTTTTGTAGGGTTTAAACTTGTCAAGTTTTCAAAAGAATTACAAACTTTGAAACCGAATTTCGAGGCTCTAGGTTTCAGCCTGCCTAGCCCTATTGGTAAATCCAATCCTGGTGATGTCCCTACAGCAAATGTCTGGCCCTAATCACTCAGCAGACTGAAATAAATGGTTTTCAGCATTTATTAGCAAAGATAGATATTTTAATTAAACATATAGTTCAACTTAAAGCCTGTATAATGATATTATAAATATATGTCCCATTATTACTGCTTGTGAGAAGCTTTTCCACACAATCAAGTCTATAAGATTTTAGCGTCTTCCAATGTCTCAAATGGAAACTTCAGTCTTCATTTCGCATATTCTTTTCATTGATGCCATTAGCATTTAAAGCTTGACTGATTCCAATGTACCTTTTCCATTGTTGTTTAAAGTAATATCCTAAACGTGACTTCAAATTTTTTTCTCACTTCAATCATCACATGTTTGAATACCCGAGCTGACTTCTACTGATTTGTTATTAATTTACAATTTTTTTTTATAAATTAACTTTCGTACTTGCTAAGTGTCCACTAAGTGAAAATCAACCCTTCCTCCGAGGAGTTTTTGTTAAAACATCTTAATTAACTGTTAATCTTGATAGCAAACATGGGGGGCAGGGGGGAGCTGACTGTGATGGTCGTATCGATAACCAGTCTATACCCAATAACTGTGTGTTTTGTATATGATTTTTATTGATTCAATGCTTGTATTCTGGTTGACAAAATAAATCTCCCTCTCGTATTCAGTAATGTTTCTTAACCTAGTTACGAGACCGGTATTGTACCATTATAGGTTGGAGTTGGAGATATTCATCTTTTTTGTATACCGGTACCGTACAACTTGTCCTGCCTATTGGCAAGATGGCCAACATTTTTGTTCGTAGGCCTATTTCAGTATTTACTAAATAATTTAGTTTTCACCTCTTGCAGCCTTGGTACGGTACCGGTAGTTTAAATAACACGTCGGCATGCCTTCAGTAAATGATTGCTAGCTGTACAGGTATAAATGCGTAAAACCAGTAAACAAACGTGATAGAAATGGTACGGGTTATATACTGTCAATGTTAAACGCTTCCAGTACCGGACGGACACGAACCCGAAGCGACATTAGGGCCGCATTTGCAGCGCATATCCCACAGAGCACGGCGCGTTGGCAGAATCTCATGATCTAGTGAGAATGACGTCATCGGAAACACCGCGTTCATTAAAATTTTAATGAACGATTATCAAAAATCTTGACCATGTTTATCCTGATAAAAATATCAAAAAATATGTAAAAATTATTCTATACTCAAAAATGCTCACGTATACACTGAAAGATCTCTAGAAAATTAAAAAAAATGCAAATTTCTGCTCTGGTGATCACATTTCCCATAAGAGCTAATGTTAAAAAAATTTTTTTACATCATTTTTATTTTTTGCGCGTAGGATGGGTTTTTAATGAATAAGGTCTATTGTATATAATAACAAATACAAAGGACAGTTCCCAGTCATGACTGATAAGCCAGACAAAATACCAAGTTGCACTGCACGCACGAGTTCGTTAGTTACTTGTCCATTGTTATCGTCATTACAGCCTACAAGACTTGTTACGTGTTTTATGATTAAGAGTTCGTTTCTAATTTTAAGATTAGAATGGTTTTAAGTTGAAACACGTAAACTATTAACCAAAAGCAGCTAATTTAACCAATATCCGATACAATGCACCTACTATAACTGCGGAGCAGTGGCCAAGCTTGAGCGTGCAGTGAAAAAATACACGCATGTAACAAAATTCTTAAAAACATAAGAAAGTTGAAATCATGAGTATGAGACAGAATTTGTGTGTGTTAAACAGTGTCTGGAAAGAATAAGATTTGGCGTTAGTTTATTTTAAATTTAGGTGACAGATTACTACAAATAGTTATCTCTAATACAGTTCGTTTCACATTAATAATTTTGAAGCGCTGAAAAATAATAAATAACAAGCAGCGGGAAGCCTAAAAATATGCGTGTTGCGTTGATGAGCCTTTCCGGCTGTAACTGTGATGAGCCCCTTTGGTCGTTTAACACTTTCGATGCCAAGGACGTATATATACGTCATTTGGCGCCAACCGTTCCGTGCCATCAATGCAAAATGACGTATATATACGTCATTCGAAAAGGAAAAAGTTTAATAGATAGAAGAAGGTCGAGTTCAGGTATTTGCCGTCTTTTTTCTTCTCTCTCTCTCTCTTGTTGTCAAGTTGGGGGAAAGAATGACGTCGTCAGCCAATCGCGTCATTCAAGAAATACCAAGATGGAAGGAGGGTCTGCCATGAAGTAAATTATCAACTTATTTAGCATGGCCGAGGTACATATTAGCCGCAAATTATCATCAAAAATTTGTACGAGACCGACTGACGCCAACACACGGTTTCAACTTTTTACGGTGAAATGATTGAAAGGTGTGAGGAGAGATGATAATATTATCAATCATGTTACGAAGATGTAGAAAAACATTACTAAACCGGGAAATAATTCGAATATTTTTATATGCATGATCGTCGTCTTATTGGCAGGACGATGAAATGATTCAAAATGTTGGTATTTTTGAACGTTTTTTTAATTTTTTATCATTTTTGGGTAACGGATTGACGGACATCTGCAACGAAAGCAAATTTTATCGTCCTGAGAGGTGAAATGTTACATTTTGAAATAATAAAGTGAGAAATTGATATTATTCGGAACATATATTTTTCTACTTGTCAGTGAGATATGATCCATGATATAGTAATTTAGTGGGAAATATATTACCAATAACACAGAGCCCCTCGTATGCTTTCAGCTCATATTGAATTACTTCCGTAGCTATTGTATAACCATAATTATAGCAAAATATGCAATCCTACGACTTTGTGTCGGATGAACAAGTTCAATAAGCAGCCATGGCGTACTGATTACGTAGCTACGCAATAGCGATCACGTGTCTGGCGCCACGAAGACGGGACTACGTGCAGTCGAGAAGACTTGCGTAGCAAATTGCGTGAGATGACAATTTCGGAAAATCGTGTTCTTGACAGATCAACTGACGAATTTCGATGAAGCTTTAAACCTTTTTATTATGTCAACTTAGAGACACCGGATGCGTATAATGAATATTGAAATTGCATTTGGAAATACTTCATTTGCACGCCAATATTAGTTCAAATATCCACACAAATAAGTATTTGCTCGCTATAAATACCAGATTGAATGAAATGTTTGCCGAGGCAAGTAAAGACTTCGAATTTCATCGTTTACTGACTGAACCCACCAAATCTGGAAGCGCCCGACGAAAACTCAGGAGCAATACTAAGATACAAACGCACCTGAAATGTATTACGCATGTTTCGGTATTATCCGACACATCAGTCGTAGGTGAAAGAACTCACCTACACATGCGTATCTTGTCGGAATTGCTCTCTCATGCTATTATAACATAAGTTGGAGATAACTTGTCTTGATCTCTCATTGCGATAAAGATTCAATTCGAACATTTTATTCAGCAATCAGAATCATTTTATTATACGAAAATATCAAATTCGAACAAAGAAAACAAAATCGTTTACTAGCATAAAAATATATCCTTCATTCGCTATATATTCCAATAACATTAATAATGGCCAATTATTGTCACTCACAAGGATAACATATTGCAAAATAAACAAAGTAGTCACATTGCATATTCATACAACTGTAACACATATGTACTTGAAACATACGAACATAGTAAATTTATTATCGAGCTTCCATATCGGAATTCATTATAAAAAATTAATGTGCAGTATGGTGGTGCATAAAATAATAC